CTACTCTTGGGGGAAGCTGAAGTCGATGTTTAAGGGCTAATGATATATATCGCAAAGCCTGCCATTTGAAATGATAATAATAATATTTTCCGATACAATTAGTTTCGTGTGGCATAAATTTAGGGGATTTCGTGTCATGGGCCATTCATTGGCTGAATTGGTCGGGATTATTAATTCGTTTTGATTAGTAGGAACCATATGCGTTTTCAAAGAGAATCACGAAGCTGATTTTCACTTCATCAGTGGCGCTAGCTACATTTCATTGATTGATCTTAGTGAAAGGTGCGATCACCGCAATAGCGTCAACAGATTACCTTCCCTCTGTATAGTTTTCGCTTTATTATTTCATAAAAATAGCAATGATTATTAGCTGATTGATTCGGAAATACATTTTCTTAATGGCAGGTCTTAATGAATCTGGAATATGCGTTAACACTAGAATAAACGAGTCCGAATATACTCGAACCTTGTTTTTTAGGTATATTTATATATTTTAAGTGACATATGGTTGCGTTGGCTATGTGTTCGTCAGAGGTCACAACGGGTCAGATACCCAGACTTGTTAATAATTTAGGTACATAATTTGAATTTTTCGGTGGATATTTCAATGCATTAGAATTTGGCCATTGTTCTTTGAGTGCCTCTTGACATACGTCTTTATTTTGGGCGTGTTCGTGTATAACTTTTTACCCTAAGATTTAAGGCTTCTTCATTTATCAGTTTAATTTGGGCTTTCAAGGTAGCCTTTTTTTATAAAGTATTTTAAACTTGAATTTCTTGATTCCCTTTTTTGTAATTTCTGATGTGATCTAGAAATTGTTCTCTTGAATTTGTTTTCTGTGAAAGTTGGGTTATGCTTTGATTGCGTTTTGTTATGTATTTCTTCTGTTTCAAACAATTGCAAGGCGAAGTCGAACTTTTAATGGGATTTTAAGCTCGATCCACTGTACGTCTCATTTTGCTAATAACTTAAGTTACCTTATTGACGCATTGATAAACATTTCGTAGGTGAGTTCAATCTGTTCACACCGAATAGACGACCTCTCAGAGGATGGCATTTATTAAAGTGAAAGTATGGATACGAGGGTTTCCTCACTACTTGAAGAAACCATTATTTTGCCATTCATAATTTTATCAGAAAGCGTTTTCTTTCAATGGCATAATCGAAAATCTCAGTTTCTACCAATCAGCAGGAACAACGATGCACGTTCTATCATTTTCGAACCGCCAAACTCGAGTAATTGTAGATTTTAAGTATTTTCTTCTGTCAAACAGGTTAGAACTGGTTCGTAAAATATGCCGTCAGAAAAACGCTATTATTTGCTCATGAAAAAATAATTCTGTGAAAAATAGCTTTTTTCAAAATGTCCGAAGATGTAGATAGTAATGTTGCAAGAATCCTATTTTGAGGCAGTAATGTCTACGTTCTTCCCATTTTCCTTGTCCCTCAATGTAATGCTGATTGCCATTTGTCTCCCTGTCCAAATTTTATTTTCACTTTAAACAAAATTCACTCAATTTCTTCGTTCAAATGAATTGACAAATAAACTATCTGCATTTATAAGCTAATACGAAATACCGTGTACACGAAATAATTTTGGTTAGAAAATGCTTAAACGGTTCGTGATATTTCAATTCTGCTTTCCTCATTACCCATCGGGAAAACTGTAAGGTGGGTGACGACCTGTAGTGCAATTGTTCAAATCCGTCGAATTATTGTGCTAATAATTAGATGCTTGCCATTTGAATAATGGCATTGTTTAAAAAGGAATAAAGAAAGGGGGGGGGGCAATGCTATTTACGGAATTACTTTGTCATTTTTCGATCGAGTTTTATGTGCTCGCAAGTTTAGTTGCTTATCTATACGTTGTATACTCCCAAAATGGATAAAATTGGAATTAAATTAAGTGACACACACACACGAGAGAGAGAGAGAAGGCCTGCACGATTTAATTAGTCCTGATTAATACGTAACAGTATGTTATTAGCTCTTATTACGACTAACTGAGTCGTCTACAGTCCTTCACTGTCGACGGTAAAAGCTGGAATATTCAAACATGCAACCATTCCATGTAACTACTTTCTGAAATTATTAGATGGAAGAGTAGTCGAATAGATAGAGGAAGGGATGTGATTTTGAGATGTTCAAAAAGTATCAACACATTTATCGTAAACAATGAGTTATTTTCAAGGCTGCGTTTGTCCCCAATTTGAGTCAAGAAATAAAAATCCGGCCAGCAATGCAGATGATTAGGATATGCTTTAAATATATGGATATTTTCAGTTATCTTGCAATGTGGCGTTAGAAAATTGATCTAATACTAGCAAATATGTGAATTATTATTTTAAACGTGTTTTCTATTTTTTTTTAATCAATTATACAGGCCTACCTGCAATACGCCCAGAGCAAATTAACTGAAGAGGAAGCTAGAGCGAAGCTCTACTTGGACAACGGTCCCAACTTCAAGTCGGTTGAAAATGTCATGGACACGTGTGTTGAGGTGTTTGTGGTCGCTTTCAAGGTAAATTTTGGTGTATTCATTGGTTGTTGCCTCGATCGTCAATTTAATTTCTCAATCTTTTTAATTGAATTTGCCCTTGTCAGCTGAGGAGGGGGGGGGGCTGTTTTACTTTCCTACAATTCCATTTTCCTCAATTTTTTCTAAATTATTTAACTTCATTTACTCTTCTATTCGATGACATTCTTGTGTGCGCTTATTTTATTGCATCGGAAGATGGTTTTATTAGAATTTGCTTAACCTAAATTTACATAAATTCCATTTCAAGGTGGTACTATTGAAGTTTGTTACTGCAGAGAAATGACTCCACAAATATTTAAACGACTTGGGCTTTACTTCTAAAAAGGACTGTCCTTTTTTGGTTTAGCCTTCAACCCACCACCTCCTGTTTTCGGTTAATGGCGAAGACGTTGTTGGGACTAACGGAAATTTCTCATTTAGTGTGACTCCAGGCTTTTTTCATTGTATCTGCCCCCCCCCTTTCCCTCCCCTCCCCTCCGTTACAAAGAGACCACTTTTGTGCATAGGCATTAATCGGTTAATTGCGTGGTCTTAGATCTTACATCGATAGATGAGTCTTAAGGTTTGATAGCTTAATTCCATCCATTTACAGTTCTTCCGGGATTGGGTGAAATGCGTAGGAGGTATTCTTGAATGTCGTTAAAGTTAGTTGGTTTACTAGTATCAGTAAATCTGTGAAGTTAGCAAAGTACTACCAGAAGCTGAATAGTTGTTAATGTGAGAAAACATGGCATATGCAAACGAATGCATCTATTGGGGTCACTGTTCACTTTGCATAGTAAACATATCAATAATATGGGTACAAATATGCGGTAATGAGGTCTGCGGGTTAGGATAATTCGGGTCGCTAGAATGAGGGCTGCTATAATTAGTTGATCTGACCTTTTCCTGACCTCCGAGTAAGTAGATGGCTGGCTTTAATGTTTGCGGAAAATCCGGAAAACTAAGTTTACAAAGTGATTGCTTACTGGTCAACTTTAATTTGTCTCTTGTCACTGATCATTGAACCGTTCTGGTAAGTTCTAACTCTTTGAGACTTATATAGCACACACTTATTCGAAAAGTTAGCCAATTTTCAATTGTGAAAAGCCACTGAGATTGATTTGGAGAAAGTGCGACAAATGTTAAAGTAGAAGGAGTTTTCATTTAATCTTTGGACTCAGGTCGTACTAAGTTCACTTAATGGGTACTTCACTATCTCTACGTTAAATCAGATGCTTGTCTGCGAAGTACAGCGCCAGTATTCATGAAAGATCGTTCGTGCCATTTCTGCTCTCCTTCTCTCAGTTTGTTGGATTACTACGATAACAGTATGTTGTTTAGTTGTCAAATCGCACATTGCGAACGATTTTCGTCATTGTTTAATTTAAGTTGGTCAGTGTGTGCATGAACTTCTGTGTGATGAATGCATTAGCGTATTTCTATTTCGTCAGGATTCCTTTTCAAAAAATGCTTAATCGTACCTATTTCAGGACCAAATATTGGCGGAGTTTCCAAAACTCCTCGAGGAGGACGCTAAGGAATACCTCAAATTAACCCACGAATTAGTTCATCGTGTTAAAGGCTGCAATGGCGAGGCAAATCCCCTACTGCCCATCCTGGAGGAGTACATTTGTAATATGGGAAGCACTGAACTCAAAGACAATGCAGTGATTATCTCAAAGGTTGGTTAGTTTTAACACCTATTTCCCATGAGTTTATGTAGTGACTTTATTTCTGTATATGCCTTTTACTATTAACTGCAGTTTAAAGGTAGGAATTGTTGAGATGATACGATTTGAAATGGGAGGTTAGTGGAATTTCGAGTATCAATGGGTCTTTGCTACGAGATTTGGCTGTAGCTGTTGAATAAAGGAAGGTAGGTAGATGAGTCCTTGTTTACGAAAAGGCAATTTTAACTCTAAAACGCTCACAAAGGTTTGGAAACAGAGATGCTAATTTATAAAAAAAAATGTAAATAGCCGCTAAAACAGTGTTAATTGGTAATATTAAGGCACATCTTATAAATAACGTGCGTAAATATGAAATGGCTTAAAACCAATAAGTTGTACGAAAAATGAAAATAACTAATAATCGTAAAGATAGCAAAGGATGATAGAGAGGCCATCTTTCCGTGATAACCAAAGACTTCTATCCATTGAAGGCCATAACGTTCAGCATATATGCCAGTCTAGTCACACTAACCTTCCAGGTTCGACTTCCTCGTCGGCCTATGTTACCTGTGTATGAAAACCGTACACATACCGCTTGCACAAAGTAATTCTGGCAAGTAACCTCGTGGCAGTGTTGCTTGCAATGTTCGTTCGCAATCAACCATTAATCAAGTCCCTGCGTACTTTTCCATCTGATGAACGCAAATTAGCATCAATTTGGCAGTGATGCTGGCCGAATTCAAAGGGAGGCAACATCTAGTCATTCCCAGTTGATGTTAAGCCAGGTCACTACAGTTTAACAATTCCGCTTATTGGACATAGAGAAAGAGTATCGTAGAATCCTATTGATTTCCGGACTGATAGGTGTTGAAACAATAACTTTGTTCAGACTTGTACCTATCCTGCTCTTCAGTATCTATGCTACTTTTATTAATAAGCATTGAATTTCCCAAGTTATTTCCAACTTTTGCATACATTCATATTTCGCTATGTCTTACTTTGACCTCTGTTTTTTAAATTGTTTTTAAGGATGCGAGTAAATATGTGAGCACGCTTATGGATCTCTACAATCGTAACTCTTCCATAATTGAGGAGTGCTTCCAAAATGAATTCTCCTTCCTTACCATTCGTGATAAGGCCTACCAACGTCTCGTCAATGACACAACAATCTTCTCTCTGACTATGCCGGACTCTACTAGGTAAGTAATTTTAGTAGAAATTAATTGTCACCTTTTAGCGCCTTTGTGCTAACGATTGTATAGCTATAGATGTAGTCTCAGTTCGGTTCATTATGCTAATTTGGGTCCTTCAACCTTGCCGAGAACAGAGGAAGACGAATTTTTAATGTTATTTTATTTTATCGAGTTTATTCGGCACTGCCTTGTAGTAGTAGTAGTAGTAATAGTTGCATTTAAACTTTATACGCAAAATTTATGACTGGGCCTTATTATTCCAAAAATAATAAAAATTAAGTTCTGTTTATTTTTCATTAATATTCGATTGACCGTTCGGCTAATTTCGAAAAAAAACAGTCCTTTTTTCTTTGAATTTAACCGCAGTGTCATTCAGGCACGTTCCTTGCAGTTTATTTTATAGCGTATTCAATGATTAAGTGTAATTATGTTTTTATAAGACGACCACATCAATTTTTTTATAAAAGCCGCAATACATTACTGTTTCCTTGAACTCCTCAACCGTATTCTGGCTCTTCATCACTCCTCTCCTAATGGAACTACTTCATTTACACTTCTATTTGTTTGCATTTTCTCTTTAGAGCCGCTACTAAGAGACCTGAGTCACGATGTCCAACCCTCCTGGCCGCCTATACTGATATGTTGTTGCGGAAATCACCCATTTCAAGAAGACTCTCACAGGAGGAGATCCTTAGTCGCCTTAAGAATGTCCTGTTGGTGCTCAAATACGTCAATTCCAAGGATCTTTTCCTTGAGTCACACAAGGCTCATCTCATGAGACGTCTCATTTTGGAGACTTCGGCAGATACCGAAATGGAGGGTGTCATGGTGGAGAAACTGAGGGTTTGTTTAATTTGACAATGATTTTGGCTTTTGGTATATGTGTGTCTGAACGTGTAGGAACCAAAAAATTTTAGGGTTTATGGGTGAAACTTTTGTAATAGTGGTGGTCCTGGTGGACGTTGGGACAAGTCAGTCTGAATCGATTGACTGCGGATTTGGATTAAACCCTGTCAACCGTGATGCTCCTAATACAATCTAGAAAAGTGTACCAGGAACGATGGATTGAATTAACTAAGAGTGATGGAGCTAGTTGTTACTCCGCTTAATTCATCGATTACAAATGGGGATTTGTGAGGAAAGCGTATGATTGATTTGTGAATTAGAAGACTACAATTAAATCCTTTTTTCGTTCACCTATTTCTACTCTTCCGTTGCCTCATCCTTTTTTCCTTCTTTAGGAAGCTGGAATGCCAGCAGAATTGGTGAATCGTCTTGCGCGAATGTTTACAGACATAAAGATGTCCCGTGATCTTACTCGGAAGTTCCAGGAGACCTTCTCCCCCTCCTCTGTCTCCTCCTTTGCAATCACTCCTGACGCTTCCTCCTCACCGGGTCCCATTGTGAATCTCAAAATTCTCTCATGTGGCACTTGGTTGCCCCGCGATTTGCCCCGTGTCTCTGTTGCATTGCCACCTGAATTAGAAGATTACATTCCTCAGGTAAACTCATTGTCGCATTTACGTATACATTTAACTTAAGACGGCCTTGTTTGTTAGTTAATCTGTAAAAGTCTTAGGTTTATAAGACCCCTTTCTGCTTTTTTGTGATATACTGTAATCCATTTGGAAGGAGTTTGCGTGTGAATACTTTAAAATTAAATCCTTGCTTTATTTGTTCCTTTCTTTCCGTTCATCCTGTAGATTGAAGATTTCTATCAGGCAAATCATAAGGGTAGGCAGTTAATATGGCAATATCATTTGTGTCACGCAATTCTGGCCTACTATCCACCCAACCAACCAGCTGACGAGGCTACAAACGGTGTGCTGCCCATTGAGTTGGAAGTGACCATTCTACAACTTGCGGTTCTCCTGGCTTGGCGGTATCGTGATATCACTCATAAACTCCGTCTTGATGACCTAGCCACAGCCACTGCAATGGTCGACTCTGAATTGCGACGGACGATTTGGGTAAGTTAAACAGTACTACTTAAATTTATTTTAGTAGGCTGTGTTATGAATTGTGATTTTGTGAGGATGCCATTTTTTTCTAGTCCCTTGCTGAGCGTCCTAAAACGGAACAGCAGGTTATCTTATACACTCCTGCCGCGCAATCGGAAAAAGACTTCACCAACGAAACTGAATTTTGGATCAATCCTGAGTTTGGAGTGATGTAAGTTAGAAAAATGAGTCTCAAACAGGGTTTTATAGTAATCAAGAAATGTCAATAGCCAATCTTAGTTTTAATAGCTTTCTACCATTTTCCTGACAATTTTTTGCTTGAGAATTGTATATTGAAGTCTAATTGTTTAAGCGTAATCATACCCATTAATGTTATTTTCCACTTGTTGCATCGTGAGAACCACTTTCCCACAGTTATTGTTGCTCGTAAATCTTATAACTGAATTTTTTAATTCAATATTTGAATATAAATGTTGACACGTCTTTCTGTTGCACTTGTGCCAGTGAATGGAAAATACTGTTTATACATTATTCTTATTTTATAATCCATGGCGAGGGAGGAACCTTTCCCATCGGGGGGAAATCTGATAACAATGAATAGTCTAATAATGGAAACAGAAGAAGGGGTCGTAAAGATGTCGCAAATAAGTTTAGAGCTCTGAAGGAGTTGTTCTTCATTAGGATTCAGATTCCAAATCCCTTACGTCATGATCTATCAAATTCTTGTCACCCATGTCCAAGTGTTTGCCATCCATAAGTAATGCATATAACTATAAGGATTCTTGATTTCGTTCAAGTTTAAGCTCCCAGGGTTCAGAAAAGTGGACACCCTTTTGACCCATTTTACTAAAGAAATCTAATTGCATGGCACATGTACTGCCCTTGAGATCGTCCTTCGAGAGACCGTCCTCTACTTGCCCAGGAGGGATGTTTATGTGGGTGTTGATATAGACTTACTGGACAAAAGGAAGACGTCATACAATCATTCTTTCAAAATAACCTCTACTGGTCCCTGTTCGCTTGTTTTACCAAGTAATCCAATAGGCGCTATCATTGAAATTCGAATTCGTAATCCCAGTTGATAACACCGTAAAATGTCCATCATAACTGATCTCGATCTATTAGGTAGTTGAATTAGCAACAAAGACGGAAATTGATTATCTTTTATTATTTTAAATCTTTTTGGTGCATTTTTGTTCGTCTATAACAGTTTCAAATAAGTTGAATTTGGTTTATTACAGGGCGTCCATTTAACTTATTATAATTATTTTCTACTGAATTAGCTACCGAATTAATCCAAATTTACACACATTTTGCTCTGTCTCCATTTTCAGCCGTTCAAATAGGGCGCCGAATCGTAGACGCATAAATATGATCGGCCGATTGCAACTCTCCCAATCAAATTGTGATGTGGATGGTGAAGACGTCGTACGTTTTCGTCAGTTGCGGCTCCAAGAGGCCACTGTTCGTTTAATGAAGAGTCGAAAAAGGTCGACCTACTCAGAAATGTACCAGCAGGTTGTCGGTCTGATCAAGCACCAATTTATCCCCTCAAAACGCATGTTTAAGGAAGTCATTGAATGGCTTATTGAGAGGCGCTATCTCGAACGTGATTCCAAGGACATTGATACATTTACCTATGTAACTTAGCTATGCTGTCCCCATCTGCTTATCTGTAGTTTTCTTCTCCCCCCCCCC